CAAGGTGAGGATGACCGGAGCGGACACTTTTTGACACTTTTTGCCGCATCATCTATTTTTGCAACTGGAGTCCACTTACGCTTAACATCAGGCGGGGTGGGCTAATTTGTTGCACCTCGTATACAAAAACACCCACATTCATTCTGTGCTGTTCTGTAAGGACAAATAAACTCACTTTTCACCTCGGAATCCGCGGTGTGATAAAAATTAAAACACGAATTTCGAATCACACCGGCACCGGCGAATTCCACGGTAAAGTGAGTGTTGTTACAAAATAGCAATACTGGTGGGGTGGGATAAGTTGTTGCGCCACTCAAAAAAAGCACCTCTAACCCGCATTGGAACCGCGTGGTGGTCATCTTTCGTTCTTTTATGGCTTGTACCTACTCCGTTTTGCGTTCATAGGGAAGGCCTGTCTTCCACAAAACATAGAAAGAGGTTAGAAGGGTATATACTGTTTGTACGGGTACGATACGGGTATCGATGTCTCTCATTCACTACCGCCTAATAGATAGCCAATCAAACGAAGCGATATCAAACAATGAACCAATCAACGCCTCACACCCGAGAGTAACGACGCAATCAGAACCAAGTTTTGATCAAGTCATGAGCATTTGTTTACACATAACCTTGTTCTTTTGTGTTCTGTGCTGTACATTAATACTGCCGTCCTCAAGCTAAAACGCAATTAAATGATAAAACCAACTTTTTAGATATGCTCAAAAACGGCTCGTAAACTTTAAATTATTGTTATTTTGTAACCATTCATTAAATGACGGATTTTTAGACTCAAACTATAAAAGATAAGAACAGATCGATAGAGAATTAAAACTTGTATAAGATGCAATTTAAGACTGAAAAATCGACCACATGTCCACCACCACCACATTAGCTTATTCTGCCGTCCTCAAATGTGACATGTGGTCGATTTTTCAGTCTTAAATTGCATCTTATACAATTTTTAATTCTCTATCTTGGCTATTTTCAACAAGCTAATGGTGCAAGTGCAAAATAAGGTGTTAGTAATTGTTACCATCAACAAAGTCATCGCATAATCAGTTTCAAAACTGTTTTGCATGTATTAGAAGTTTTTTTTGAGGGTCCAACCAACAGCATGGTCGCAGATGACCTTTACAGCGTCACCGGGTTTAGGGACGGCAAGATTCTTAGGGGACCTCAAGCCGAGAATTGGCGAGTGCCTCTAGAGGTATTCCAATCGGATGGCATCTCCTCTCAGGGGGAGTTTCCTCTCCGTCTGGAGCCTCTAGACCACTCGAACCTGAGGGGGACGGCTCAACTAGAGGGCGTCTCTGAGACTCGGACCTTGGCTCTAGTTAACTGTTGTCGTGGGGGACGGGGAAAACGCCCAGGTACGTACCTGTACCTGGAATAGCGTGTCGTGTGTAGACCGGGTCTTCGCACTCTTATCCTACGGGTGCGGTGTCTGCCAAATGCTAAGCTAGTGTTCAAGTTTGCTAGCTGTGTAGTGGTGTTTGTGGCCTGCGTGGGAGGAGTCGGAGGCGCGTTGGCGCGGGTGATTTCGGCGTCGGGATACTCTAATACGTGCTTAGGCCGACGGAATCGGAGGGAATTGTATTAAGTGTCGTCGGTCCCGCCTCTTATCTATTTGATCGGTGACATACAAAAGGACATTTTTATTAATTGGCTGCCTATTGTGTACCCAATTTTATGAGTTAAGCGAGTACGAAATTATTATTTTTTATGCGGTGTATTGTGATTTGTGAACAAGAACAAAAGGGCAGGGTGACTCCTTGATCAAGGAATCGGGTCATACAAAGGAAAATCATCTAAAAGGTGGTCCAGGCTGGACTTTGTAAACTGCATTTATATAAAAAAACTCACATTAATACTTAATGATATACAATAAATAATATAATTTCAAAAATTATATAAAATTTTTATTTGAACCTTTTGCTGCGTCTAAATAACAGTATCTTCGTCCCTCCTTTAAAATATTTATGTCTTTTTTACGCACACTCCCGCCTTTTATAACAAGTTTGACATTTAACCTATTACTATTGGTAAACCAGGGCAACTTGTCTAAACTGAATTATTAATTTAAAATAGTAAAATTAATCAAATTTTCATAAACAATTTACTTTTATTACAAGAAATACACATGGCGCAGCTGGTTGCACTATTACATAGAGTTCTTAATATGAAAAATTGTTTATCAAAGGCTTCCTTCCATTAATTTACACAATATCTGTCAAACTTAGAATATTCTTATAATGCCAATATAATGTAATTTTATTGAAGTTACATATAACATTTTTTTTCATTCTATAAATACCGACGATAAATACTTAGTAAATGTGTACAATTTTGACAAATGGTTATTTTTTACTATAAGATTTGACTACCTTTAATGATGTCGAAGGCCACGTATTTTCCACATCATGACGATTATTTTTTCCTTCTCGACCATACCTGGGAAAGGAGATTGCTCAGCTTCCATACATGTTTGGCCTAAAGACCAATAACCATGAAAAATTGTTTCCTAGATTCGAAATTATATATAAATTACTGTAGAAACGAATATTATTGACGGACACCCCTGAGAACTTCTATAAACCATATACACTGAACATATTAAAATAATAAAAAACAAATAAGTTATATAGTAAACTAGGGAAATCAAGCCAAGTACCGAAATTATGGATTAGATTCAGGTATAAAGAGCATGTACATTAACAGATAGTTGCCTGTTTTTAAAGTTAATGCATAAGAGTAACTTTTAAAATCAGGTGTCATTTCCGGTTATAATAAAGTACTCTGTGACAGAAACTGTGTGATGATTGTGACTGAGCCACAGATTAGAGAGAATTTTTAAACTCTCGTTAACCAAAGAAAGCTAAGAGATTTAGGTTCTATAGCCATATATTCAGTAGCTTCATTATTTTTGTTATGTTTTTAAGATAACCATATTTTAGATTTTTAGTGTATCACACCTTATAATTTTATTTATTTATTAATTTATAGTCAGGGAACGTAGGCCCATAGATAGATAGATACCTTAAAGTCTAACATATATACAGATTATAATGTGTTTATGGAGGTGTTTGGCGAAAAATGTATGGCAATAGACTTTGTGATGTCGCCTACCATCTATAATAATTGTCTGAGCACATTTGCATCTAGTGAAAATGATAATATAGTTGTGGATATTAATACTACAGTGTAATAAAAAAAAATGATTTATTTTATCGATCAGTCTTTGGCTGAATGTTACTATACCCATAGCCATTAAAAATGATTCGTATGTTTTCCAAACCGGTAAAATTAAAAGTTCTTTTTAAAGTAAATATATTATACAAAGGTGTCCGTTGAAATCTAATGACTGTAAATTAAATTAAAAATTACGGCAAGAATTACCGTGTATGTCAATATTTTTTGTGCATTTAGGCCAATTTGAGCAATCTCCTTTATGGTTATGGAGATATTGAAGGTCAGTCTCAATTAATTTTTTTCAAGATTATTACATTAATATTTTCAAAACGTCATTTAGATTTTTTTTATCGACGCACTTCACACACGCACACACATACAAACACACACATTTCTTGCGTAACGCGCCGCGCTATACATTGCGTACTGGATAAAATTTTGTATTTTTTTAACTTAAAAATGCAAATGTTTCCTACGTATAATATTTTGTAATATTACTTGCTTGGGTGTTCAAAATGCGTACTTTTAGTCTTGAGCATAGTTAGAAAGGGATGTCGCTATATATAGCACATAGCGATATCCCTTTCTAACTGTACTCTAGTAAAGATCAACACTTAGTAGTCATTCTGTAATACGGGCCTAAGTCATAGGTCTTTTTATAGTCTAATTTAACAATCGATAGAACAACGCGGCCTTAGCGAACAAGCACGTAACAAAAGGCGGATAAAATTGACAATAATCTGAAGAGTGAGAGAGCGATAGTGCAGTCATATCTAAACGAAATTATCTGTCTACAACTGCACCGTATGTATGTATTACAGTGCGACAAGGACCTTTATGAATGTGGAAAATTGGAACTAACGCCGCCGTGTTTGTAAACATAATGGGTGTATTGTGTAATATATACCAGTATACTGGCCAGTGCAATGATGTCATAAATCCACGAAATATTAAAAAGAGTGCGAAAAGAGAAGATTTTTTTATTCACCTCGTCAATTAAAAGGAATTATTTTTGTTCGGATGCCATTATTGTATTTTAAATAAAAAATGGGTGCGTGTACTTATGTAGGCGCGTGAGAAGTTATCCTTCTTTGGCATCGTTTAAAATTAGTTTTTAATTGCATGCAAATAATTAATTACAATAAATTAATAAAAAGTCTGGAAAAGGACACAGACAATAAAGTTCAGTTTTAATTTGAAAAAATAAATAAATAATCAAAATATTCAATTAAAAACGCTACTGAATATAATTTATTAGAACATATGTGATTTGCACTTGTATGAAACTCAAACACGTATTCCGAATATACAAACTAGAAACATGTGGATAAATATTATAAATATGAATACCTATAACTGTTTCTGTATTAAAAAAATAAAGATGTGGTTTTTGGTTCTACTACACCAATGGTCAAGAGATGGCGCTGTAGTCTCCTGAATCGCGCTTTGGTTCCGTTGTTCCAGATTAATAAATACTTTTGATAGGCCTTCACAATGCAGTCGTTAGCACCCACTAAATAGAGATTCTATTTCTATTTTGTTGGTAGATTTTCTTAATGTGCGGTAAACACGCACGTCGCTAAAGCGACCAACTTCATGCTGTTAAAATTTTGTGTTACAGTGATGCGCGCGCATCTTAAAATTTCACTCTCATCATTTTTTCATAACGCGCCTAAAGAAGTATAACTTCAAAAAGAAATAAAATTCGAATGCATCTCACGCACGCTCGGTCATACGTCATATTCGTTTTCCCGGCAAAAATATGCTAGCATACCAGTACAATATGGCGTCGGATTCGTGACATCATTACCACTGGCCAGTATACTGATGTATATTTCGGAATACACCCAATATTTGTTACGTCTAAAGTCTAAACAGTAGCCCTCATTGAAGTACTAGTTAGTTAAAAGTGGTTTGACGATAGTCAAAATAAGGTTGTAATTTGACAGTGACAACGAACTGTCCAGGCGAGGCCAGTTAAAGTTATAGTAAATTTTATCTCTATCTAGGTCTGTGGTTCCAACCCAAAATTGTGTAAGTTTAATTATGAGTGAGCAAGAATTACATATGAAGATATTTATGTATTATGAAGACCTTATTACTTATTTAGTATATCGTCTTTCCGGTCAGAGATCTCATACTAAAGTACTAAAAATGTATCGTAAAAATATGAACTTAAATGCTTAAATGTGCGCCTTACAAGCACTCAGTTATTTGGTTCAATTTTCATTAACCTATAAATTTAAATTACCAATATAATAATTACATATTTTTTGACAATAATACAATTATTAAATAATTGCAAATAGCATATAATTGAAATAAATACTTCTAAAACAAATATTTGGAATATAACGTAAAAATATACATTTATTTATTTATCTCTTCTGTTAGCACCTTACATGGTTTACATAAATTTGTAACGATTTTGAATACCCTAGATACACCAAGTACGCTCAAAATGTGTCCCAATCAAGAAGTGCTTGAACACCACACTTCACTTCTCGGTTCACAGTTACGCGCGGACCGTTTAAAAGTCAAGTTGCCGCAGAGCTCCACGAAAAAAAATACTTAACAGTATGTAATGTGTCGTTTTTTCGACAGGTATCTAATCTATTTTTGTGAATTTAACGCATTTGAAGCAAATTTTCTTCTAATACTTACTATAAACTGATGTAATAGAAAATAAATAATAAATATAATAAATAAATATTTCCAACACTCACACCAATTAGCCTAGACCTAAAGTAAGCACTGTAAGGCTTGTGTTATGGGATACTAGAGTAACGGATAGAATACATATATTGTACATATATAAGTATATTTATATAGAAATACATATTAAACATCCATGACTGGAGTACAAATGCTGTTATTCATCACACAAACATCTGCCCCCACCGGGATTCGAACCCGGGACCGCTCGGGTCGGCGACACCATGAAACCCGGCGTACAAACCACTCGGCCACGGAGGTCGTGAAATATTTGTGATATTCAAATGCATGGTCGGTAATATCCTTTTCTTCGCGATCCGTACCTGCTACATTGCTAACAGCGCATTCAGAATTGCGCGTAGCGTCAAGGAAATAAGGTATATATTCTTCCGCATACAGCAATAAGTCGTAAAATTTTACGAGCTTGCATTTCGAACTGTCATAACTATTTGACGCATGCGTTTTAATTAAGATCTTATACAGTATGCATTAAAGGTGATTTTTAATGTTTACAGAATGCCTTATATTGCTTTTAACTACGCGATCATCTTACGAAGTTCCGTGGATCGTCCAATGTACCTTTTGGACAGGTTTCGGGCACGATTTTGTTTGTGTTGGTGTATCTAGGGTATTTAATAGCGGTGTAAATATGATAGCAGTATATCCTTGTCATGCTCTATAGTGAATAAAATGAATAGACTAGTGACAAATTTACGAATAGCAAATACGAATATCCATGTTAAATGCCAGCATTACAAATACTTCAAGTAAAAGAGAACATAAGACAGTTGTACTTACATTTTACATTAAATGGTCATTAGCACTTACAGGCTATCCTTTTCTAGTGTCATAGCAATGACAGGGTTAACACTATAAAATGATTTCGTGCTTGAAACTTCTTGTTAGATGTTTGTGCGGTAGGACTATGGAATTGAGAAGAATCGTCTCGGCAGGAACTACTACGCCCGAACCTGTTGAAATATCATTATCAATATTATACTATTTATTAATTTATTGATCGATGATTCATAAATTTTACCTACATAGTATATTATATAAAATGATTCCCTCTCTCCATTGATTTGGAGTGATTCCAGCAACACACTTTCCTTATGCAAAACAGGCGCCACACGGACGTCGAGTTGCGGAAACGCCCGTAGAAAGAAGAAGAAGAATATAAAGCGTAATAGTCCAAGATCCCAGGTGAGAAACTATAAGAGAGTGAGAGAGAGAGAGAAGTCAATATATCCTAATACATGTCTCACTCAGTCTCATGCGCGTAGATGATGCCCTCGCGCTCCTACCCACAGAGGCATTAAAATTGAATTTATGTATTTATGAGCCCCTTGGATCGGTCTGTCTTTTTGTAAAAGGTTTTAAAAATAGTTCTCTGGTGGACATATATAAAAATGGAGCATCAGAACTTACGTGAAGTTAAGTAATTATTTTGGGAGCTTTAAAGCGTCTGCAAAGCAAGAGGGCCGACGGAAAGTGTCTGGGAGTATTGGCGACTTAGTTTTAAGGATATTGCCTAAAATATACATAAAAATCAGCTTGGAGAATTTACGTGAGGTAAGTAATGCTTTTATGTACCTTGATTTTCTGATACCTGAAAATCGGCCGTCTAAGCAAGCTAGGGGATAGGCATGCGTTCTTAGTACATACTAACAATATTCAATCGTCCACATTTCCTTCGTCAGAAAATACGTGACGTCTGGTGGCCCTGGGATCTTACTCTATAAACTTACCAAGTATCGTAATAGATGGGTTGAGTCTTCCGTCAGTGTTGAATAGGGGAGTGTTGTCCATTTTAGCGAACGGCTTGTTGGGGTCGGGGTCGGAGGGAGTGCCTTCCACCCGCGCCCATTCCCCTACTGAAGCGTCCTGACCCACTGATAACGGAGAGACACGATATTTAATCTTTTGATGATATTTTATACAAACATAGAACAGTGTATGCCTGTATATATCTCTGTGTCTGTATACTAGCGTGTGTAACTATTCCACCACAGAAACAAATCTATCTCAAGAAAATATAACTAGAAAAAATTCCACGGCGACCAGGCAGCAGGCGGGACTCGAACCAGCACCCTTCGCAATCCGGGCGAATGCACCGACCAATTATGCTACCGCGGCCCTCACGGACCGCGTCGAAATTCCTCTAGCCATTCTTAAGCTGCAAGGCAGCGCCATCTCTTCACATTATAGGTAACCCACAAAATCAAATGAATACTTCTACAAGTATTAAACATTTGAAAGAAGAAAGAGCAATTATAGTTATAATTTTTAATTGTTTAAAGCATGTATCTGCTTGATGTTTAAATCTAAAGAAAATATAACTAGAAAAAAATCCACGCGGACCAGGCAGCAGACGGGACTCGAACCCGCACCCTTCGCAATCCGGACGAATGCACTGACCAATTATGCTACCGCGGCCCTCACGGACCGCGTCGAAATTCCTCTAGCCATTCTTAAGCTGCAAGGCAGCGCCATCTCTTCACATTATAGGTAACCCACAAAATCAAATGAATACTTCTACAAGTATTAAACATTTGAAAGAAGAAATAGCAATTATAGTTATAATTTTTAATTTTTTAAAGTATGTATCTGCTTGATGTTTAAATCTAAAGAAAATATAACTAGAAAAAATTCCACGCGGACCAGGCAGCAGACGGGACTCGAACCCGCACCCTTCGCAATCCGGACGAATGCACTGACCAATTATGCTACCGCGGCCCTCACGGACCGCGTCGAAATTCCTCTAGCCATTCTTAAGCTGCAAGGCAGCGCCATCTCTTCACATTATAGGTAACCCACAAAGTCAAATGAATACTTTTACCGAATTTTTTCTAGTTATATTTTCTTTAGATTTAAACATCAAGCAGTTACATGCTTTAAAAAAATAAAAATTATAACTAAATCTATCTCATTTCTCTAATGACGCGTCTTGATCCGCTGACCATGGAACAAATATACGAATCATCTAGCACACATACGAGGGACGTTCAATGTATTGTCGGTATAGGTATGAAATAATAAGCGGAAAGCTGCGAATAAAATTTATTTTTCAAATTAGTCTCCCATCACCTGAATACACTCATTTGTCCGGGAAATACTCTTTTCGATTCCCTCTAAAAATATTTTTATTGTTTGTCTGAAAAATGTTCATAATTGCTTCCTGCAACACTTTATCGTCGGAAAAATACTTGCCTCGAAGATTGGGGAACAGAAAGTAATCACTAGGTGCTTGGTCGGGGCTGTAGGGTGGAAGATTGGTTTTTTCAAATCCGCAATCCTACACAGCAGCCTCCACAATGCGATCAATTTTCCACGTCTTTTTTCTTTTATTGTCTCCTTTAAATTAGGCAGAGTGTTTGCATAAGATTCAGCAGTTACACTTTGCCTTTTTTGTATACTCAATAGGGTATTTGACAGTATTAAAAATACAGTGCCAATTGTTAGCATCTGTGTTTAGAATGAATATTGGCAGGGGTTTTCACTATTTTTACAGAAAACATATTCATAATTTTACTAAAAACCCACGAAAAAGATAATAGTTTTCTTATCTATTGTCACGTGACCCAAAACGCTTGGGATTGGCGGAGCCTAAAATGACGGCGCACGCAAGTAAACTTCCGGTTACAGTGACATTACATTGTATCGTTCGACGTTTAAATAACAGTCGTGTGACGTCACACACCAGTGAGACGCCCTATTGTCCAGAGAAACGTTTGCTCGGCAACTTGAAAATGGAGATTTCTATTTGGTTATTTTTACTGAAATACACAACAGAATAATGAATATCCACTTTCTACGGACTCCATAAACATTAGTCAATAACGTGACATCGTTTTGTAATACTTGTCAAATACCCTATTAGTAAGATTCCCTTATAATTCCAAAACACTGGGGTCATGAGCTTTTCAGACAGTTTCCGGCGGACGGAGTAACTTTGAACTTCTTCGGTGGGTCTGTTCCATTTTTATGCCACTGCATAGACTTTGCTTGCTCTCAGTGTCATAGTGATGAACCCACTTTTCACACACAGCTTTTCACAGCTTCAAAAACTCCTTGCAACAATCAACTCGCACTTGTTTCTGAAGCGCGGTGAGCATTCGTGGCACCTATCTAGGACTGACCTTTAACAAATTCCATGAAGGATAGCGTGAATGGTACCCACGGATATCTTAGTCCTTTGAGCTAATATTTTCATTGTTTGCATCTTCTAGTACAAGTTTATCAACGATTTTGAAGTTTTCTTCAGTACCGGCACTAATTGGGCCACTGGCGCGGGAGTCGTTTTCAATACTCTTTCTACTCCGTTTGAATTCACTTGACCACTTCTGAATTGTAGATAACGAAGGGGCAGAATCTTGGTAAACAGCCACCATTTCTTTGTGTATGACTTTTTGAGTATTTCCTTGTTTTGTGAGGTATTTTATCACAGCGAGATGCTCGATTCTTTTCAACATTGTCTTATCATTATTGCCTTTACGTACCCTACCCTCATCATAAGTATGTTATCCCGATACCGAGAATACATTAAACGCCCCAACTACAATAAACTCAGAACATTGGGCATGTATCTCTCTGGGTGTGTGTTGTGTGTGTACGTGTGTGTGTGTGTGTGTGTGTGTGCGTGCGCGTGTGTGTGTTAAGAGGGTGTCCCCTCCATCTGCGCTGATAACAGAACAAAGACACGATATTTAATCTCTTGGTGATATTTCATACAAACATAGTACACTGTGTATGCCTGTCTCTCTGTGAGTGTGTGTGCAACGTTTGTTAAAATTGTGCTTACCATAATATCCAACATCTCAACTTTAGGTTAATTAATATGCATCCGATTATCCGATCTCTAGTGATAAGGGTGGTAAAGCCTTTTGTTTTATTTTTTTATTCGCCATTAAAAAAGTTTATATAACCCTAAATTGTCACCCTTCTACTACAACTACCAACCCGTATATTAATGGTGATACGAATTTCGCTAGGTCAGCGTTGATAAATAAAAATAAGGTGCAAGATACTAACCTACAGAATACATGACGAGCGCGTGGTCATTGATGGTAGCATTGTTCAGTACTATAGATTCTTTGATTCTGACACCAGCCTTTATAGAGACGCCTGCGCCGATTGACACGTTGGGACCGATCTAAGGAAACATTAATCACACTAATATTATAAAGGCGAAAATTTGTTAGTGTGTATGTTTGCTACTTCTTCACGTCTAAACCGCTGGAGCTATTTTAATAAAATTCGGTATGGAATTAGCTGATACCCTGGATTAACACAAAGGCTACATTTTATTGTGGGCAAATATCCCTAATAAACCGCGGGTATAACCGCGGGGCACAGCTAGTTAGTTTATAAAACTATAGCGGGAAAATGCTAATTTTGGGTGGTAAATGCATGCTCTTAATCACAGAACACAGTAAGAGGTTAGAAGGGCGGGACAGGCGCGTTACAGTTGTGTGAGCAAATGCTCATAACTTGACTAAAACTTAGTTCTGATTGCGTCGTCGCTCTCAGGTGTGAGCGCTGATTGGTCCGATTGTTTGATGTCGCGTCGTTTGATTGGCTATTATCTATTAAGTGGGAGTGTAGTGGGGGCAAGCCGGCGACATTAGTTCCCTTACAAATGTTACTCTTTCTGTGTTATGTGATTTTAATTATTACCTTATATTACCTTAAATAACTATTGCCAAAACTGCATTATATTCTGTTGCGTAGTTTAAAGGATCTAAGCGTACAGAGCGAATTTGTTTTATGCTATGAATGGTCATTGTATTCTTACCACAGCAGTGCTATCCACAGAAGCGGTCGGATGCAGAAACACATCTGGAAGGATGTTACAAGATGGCGGTTTGGCAGACTTTTCTCTCTCCTTGTGCAACTCTAGGTAATGCCGATTGGCGTATATGGCTGACCCAGCAGTCTTCACTTGCGACCACCAATTTGTCACCTTTAATGTAGGAATTGATTTGAATCATTTGAAATATTCAGTCAGGAATTTAATTTGTGGTTGTTCCCTAGTAGAAGAAATCATGTATACATATAATAAAATGGTGGGAGGGTCAAAACTGTACTTTGAATATTTTTTTTAAAATAATACTTGGGGTGTGATCTGTAATCGATACCGAAGCCAAAAATATAGTTTTTAGAATTTTTGTCTGTTTGTCTGTATGTATGTCCGGGATAAACTAAAAAGTACTGCATGGATTTACTTCAAATTTGGCACGAATACTATTAAGAAGTCGGGTCAACATATAGGCTATATTATCACGCAATCACCTACGGGGAACAAGCAGTGAACAGGGGTCAAAAAGTATGTGCAAATAACTAACTCTACGCGTACGAAGTCGCTGGCGACCACTAGTCAATTAATGAATACAAAATTTAAAACAAACATACCTGCATTGCATAAAGTTTATTTGTCCCAGCGAGCGGCGCTAAGACATCTTGTTCCCATGACATGTAGCCTGGGTGGCCATTTTGGCCATTGCCACTGGAAATAATGACACAAGTCCATTATAGTAAAGTTGTAATTTCATTTAGCATTACAATCGTGTGAAAATATTACGTAGGTGAATAAATACCTTCTCTTTTTATTTAGTGTTTATCATACCAAAACATATTATACAGATGGCCATTTGGCATTGCACTTGGCTATTCGTATTTTCTACTAGCGGCCGCCCGCGACGCGTGGAGTTAGTTAGAAATAACGGTTCACTGCTCGTTTCCCGTAGGTGATGGCGTGATAATATGTAGCCTATATGTTGACCCGACTTCTTAATAATATTCGTGCCAAATTTGAAGTAAATCCATGCAGTACTTTTTGAGTTTATCCCAGACATACAGGCTAACAGACAAAAATTCTAAAAACTATATTTTTGCCTTCGATCTCAATTGTAGATCACACCCCAAGTATTCTTTTAAAAAATATTCAATGTACAGTTTTGACTTTTCTACCATTTTATTTTAAGTATAGACTTGTAAACTTGACAACAGAGTCATTATAGCTAGGGAGGGAACGATACGGTATTTTGCCGATATCTCTGTTAATTTGTAAGAATGGTCTAGCTAGACAAACTTAATAGGGGTGATGACAGGGTACAGTAAACGAAATTCTATTAAGTCCGTCAGTTAGATGATCAAAAAATAATGGACACGTATTTTTTCTTTGGGCAATCAACCAAAAAATGACCAAGTTATAGCGCGTCAAAGTTTGGGAGTAGGGGCTCGTGACGTCACTTTTGAGTGAATTTTCCCTTATAAGTGTACTCAAACGTGACGTCATGCGACTTTTCAAATCAATATATCTCTGCAATATTTATATTATGTGAAAAAAGAAAAAATACGTGTCCAATACTTTTTGCTAATGTACCTGATAAACGAAGAAAAAAAAATTCGGCATCATCCCCATTGCTAGAGTATTTACAGAGACACGTAAGAGGTTGCTTTTTAAAGAATGAAAAGGACTAACTGATGTCAAGTATACAAAAAAAACCATGAATAATACGGTGTTTTGCCAATTTCTCTGTTATTTTGTAAGATTACCCTACACAAACATAAAGGGTATTTACAGAGACCTCGGATAGGTCGCACGCCACGTAAGAGGTTGCTTTATAAGGAAACAAAAGGACAAACTAATGTTAAGTATACAAAGAAAAAAACCGGCCATGTGCGAGTCGGACTCGCGCACCGAGGGTTCCGTACAAATCTGAATTTTCAAAAATATTTTTTATTATGTGATGAAACTAAAAATGTACGGTTTTTCGCAATTTTCCTTTGTCTGTACTATAAGACGTTACTTCGTAACAAATTTCAAGATAATAAGTTCACGGGAAGTACCCTGTAGGTTTTGATTCCCGTGCGAGTTTAGAAAATTTGCGGAAATTTGCGGCATAAACGGCTGTATCTATTGATTGCTTTGGCTTAGAAGTTTGATTTTTTCACAGCTCTAAGGGACAGTAGACCTGATTATTAGATATGAATTTCAGTTTGATACCTCCACCAGTTCCTGAGAAAAACGGTCTTGACAGACGGACGGCCGGACGGACGGAAAACAAAGTGATCCTCTAAGGGTTCCGTTTTCTCCTTTTGAGGTACGAAACCCTAAAAACATGAATAGCCAAGTGAAGTGCCAGCATGAAGGCTAGTTTGTTTGTGCAATTGCCTGTCCCATATGAAATATAACATTTTCATACCTTACGTACCATGACGACAGTTCATATTGTGATGTAAATTTATGTAGTTTCATATACCAAGTATGTAAACAATGACAAATAAAAGATCTTCGGATAAAAATGTTGAAGGTTATATTATACATGCTACTGAATGCATTTGGATTGGAGGATTTAACCTGGAAAAATGTTAGGTTCCTATTGGATTCTCAAAAAACTAAATATAACACAGGTGAAGTCGCAAATGGCCACTAGTATTTTAATGAAACTCACCTATAATACACATCCTGTTTTTTCTGGAAAGATTCAGCCATAGTATGGAACACTTGTAACGAACACACATACACTCCACAGTTGATCAGTGTCGATACGTAGCTGTTTGGTTTCTCCACATAATGGTTAACAGCCTTTGTGGATGGTTCTCGAACCATACAACCGTAGTGGACCGACTGTTGCCTTGTTGCTTCTGTACCCATAATGGTAACCTTAAATTTCAATAAAATGGAATATTAAAATATTGATTAAGCTGTATAGAATGCTAGGTAGGCTGTAGTTCTCACTTTGCCTTCTTTAAAATATGAATCACAGCCTCATAAAAAGTGGAATAACATTATGTCTATTCAATATCGACAATCTACTGAAAAATCCATGGAACTTGACAAGTTTCTTTTAAATCCAAAGATTTTTTTTCTAGTAAAATCTTCTTCAGATTTAAACATCTAGTGGTTAAATGCTTATAAAATAAAAAATATTAGTTTCTTTTACTTAATTTTTAAGGGTCTGTTTTGGTTTAATCCTTTGCCATCTGATAGCAGAGATGGAATCTATGATGTGGCGAGCTTACTCAGAACTTATGACTGTTATAACTTTCAACTGTTAGCATCAAATTAATACTGAAAATGAAAAACTTGAATGAAAATTTTCACATCCTGAATCCTGAAGTAAAATATATCTGAAACCAGTCCCTTCCTAAGATGACAAAAACTTATAAGGTAATGTTGAATTTAGACAAATGAGAAAAGAGAGATAATAAAATCCACTAAAATCAAGTTAACAACATTAACTGTAACTGTAGGTAGATATTTATATGTGTATGTGTGTTTTGCTTGCAAAAAAATCATACTATGAGAATATACATCTTAAAAACTCACCAGTGCAGTTGGTCTTTCCTCGTGGAATGTCAGTAGTTCTCTTAGAGGGAAGTCTGCGCAGACATCACCGTTCAACAGGAAGAATGCCATTGGGTTCCCAGCGCGGATCTGATCTCTAAAGTGGTATAAGCCCCCACCTGTACCGAGTGGTGCGAATTCTTGTAAATATCTGTAATGTGAACATACAATTGATTTATCTAAATTTTAAAAGGGTGGCATGGGATCATTTACCTTGCCTGATGGCAAGCAGCTACCATAGCTATAGATGGTAACAAAACTATTAAGTATAGTGTGTTGCCCACTCTGACCCCATCCCAACCCTGTAGAAGAGTAAATCAAACTAGAATAGGACAGTTACAAATGCTTTTATATGGCCTTAGCCACTCCTTGCAGCTCTTTCTGCTAACCTGCGCAGTGGCCCCAGGCTATGGCCCACTTGGCCTTATGGTAAATACTCCCCTGATAACATGCAAGCTTAACAGACAAGGGTGACAAAAAGGGTGACTTCAGTAGTATCTCTGTCAGAAGTCATTTTTCAACTTGACGACTCTGTATACAATAATACAGAGAGCAAAAACCAGCCCTTGCTGAGTTGATTGCTGGTTCCTCACAGTACACGGTTTCCGCAGTAGTTTTGCAAACCAATGGCATAGCTTCTTGACCTTCACAAGTGCTTGAAAAAATGTTTTTGGAGTTTCAGTTTGAAAAATGTCATTCTCACCACTAATTCCTTACCTTATAATAACATGATATTCCTTTTGCATATCACTGATGAATTGTGCCATTAGATTTGTTGTGTATGCTCCGATGATGAGTATCTCTTTGCATTCTTTCAGTTTAGCACATGCATGAATATGGTGTTGTATTAATGGTAAGCCAGCTATGGGAAATAGTGGCTTTGGGGTATCTAGAGAGAGGGGCCGGAAGCGAGTGCCTGTGAAATAATATATAAGTATTGTAGCTGAATTGACTGTTGCAATTACTGTACATAATGTTATCAAAAATTAAAGTGCCATTCTATTGAAGGAAAGTGTGGCAGCGGACGAAACAGAAACTTCCCCCCTTTTAGATTCGATGACTCATTCAATAATATAACACACACTATCAAAGATAACAGACAATGATATTTAAATAACCTTCAAGTTACATTTTATTGATGCAGTATTCTAGCATTACGTTAACAAATACTGATGCTGAGAGGTTGGTTTAGGACTACCCAAAGTCACCATAAATATAAAATCATTATAAAAATAACATTGTAATTGAAGATAAATAGCAAAATAAAAACCGGTGACGTCGACTGTATTTTATTTACCTTTTTGAGGCCCACCGATAAGAATTACTGCTTTCAACATAATTCTCTTATTATGGAATAGTCTACGTAAATATCACAAATTGTGTTGTAGCGATAACAACAAATTAACAAAAATTAAAGTCGTAAATTTTAAACAACCAACACGTCAGTTTGTCAACTCAAAGTCAACACAAAAAATGTAAACAATAGAGCTCAAGAGCTGCTGGAGCAAGGAACCGTATCATAACTGTTACGAAGTAACGAGTACGACGTGTGACTCGATTATAGATTAATCGTCTCTGTCTTAATAGCGACGATTCTTGCATGATTCATAAACACCAGTCTCTCCTTTTCATTCTGTATACAGAATCACAAGAATTCACTAATGTCAAATAATATACGAGAATAACTTCGTTAGGTACTCGCTTTTTCCGTTTAATAGAAAAATACTTTTTTGTACTCAATTTAATATATGCTGTTAAATATATCGGAATGTTGAATTACGTAAAGGTTCTTGTTTATTTGATTGACAAAGAATTAACTATCTACTTTTAATCATGTTTATTTCAAAAAAAGTGTGGAATTTTACATAGGTGCCTAGTAATTTATAAAGGAGTGCAGAAGGTTATTTTAGCTTTTACATAATAATGCATATGTAATATTTAAAGTATATCAATATAAACTAAATTCTTATTACTATTGTGTTTAACAGGCACACTTGAATTTGAAAGAAAGTATAGGTAATGAATAAGTCACGTAATACCCATTCAAACTAATTTTCCACACATGATATTCGCTAGTAAGGAAAGAAACGAGAAATAATACTTTTGTAACGAGTACAGTTTGTAACATTCAACAACAGTCGCTCCTTTTCGTTCGCTATAGAGCATGACAAGGGTATACCTGCCTTTACAAATAGCAAAAACGCTCCTACCATTAGTTTTGCTTAACTATCGATATGCGATTGTTCAAATCGGCCACAACATCAATAGTATTATCAATAGCATCCATGTGGCATCATTTCGTTTCGTGACTCGTGACATGACGTCACACTTATTCGTGCGTGCAAAATCGGATAATCTTTTGTCGTGACAACGTCTTTTAATTCGATGGAGGCGTTACCTCGCTCTGAGGCGTTCCATTTAAGGCTTTATGTGCAAGCGAGAGCGCGCAACGAGCGACCAAGGGGCACAATCGGCCTCCGCGTTCGGCAGCGTTCGACATCTGTCTCTCTCCTACTTGAGTGAGCGATGCGTCGGCGTGGACAGCTTCTATACAATAACACATTTACATGTTTTCGTCTAGTATGAAGTGCAGTGAAAAGTGAATGTGGTATCAACTATTTATAGCAACGATAATTGCGGCGACAAAGGTAATGATTCTTTCGATATTAAATATATGTTCAGTGATATATTGTCGAATATATATGCTTTCATCATTAAAATAAATAGCATCAGTCCGCTAGTGCAGCGATTGTAGGTTATGCTATAATTTGCAAAACCATAACAATATGTTAACAAAAATATTTCGTGACATTTGATTAATATTGAATAGAACCATGTACATTGTAAAAAAACGTTGTCACGTTCAACTATCGTCAGTAAACCGACTTTACAGACAACCGATTTTTTATATAATTATAAGTGTTGCTACTCAGCTCTAGATGGCGTAATTTAAGTTTTAATGTGTAATAATGTGTAATTTGCCACCTTGCCTTTTAATTTAAATACATAAGATAGATTATTGTAATCTAACTTGGGCCTTAACACAGACTAAATACTTAAGAAATTTTACTAAAATAAATTCCGATGGCCGGGTCGAATTTTCTCTAGGTAAGCCACAATGTCAATTAATACCTTTACAAGTATTATGAGCTTACCACACGCACAAGCTTCACCACAGTTTGGCCTGCGCAAGCATCTCGCACGAAAAAACTGTACACTTTGTGCGTTACCACAGGGCACAGTTAAGTACGCGCAAGCCTCATTCTTATCGAAATCATTGGCATGGAAACAATGTAGGTAGTATATATAACTAATTAATTCAGACGTTAATTCGCGATTGTACGTACGCAAATCTACCATTTTTGTGTGACGATGACGAACGACCTCATGAAACGACGAGCGAGCCTCGACACAAAGTACACTCAAGTAAGAATTAATAAGTTTATACAAATCTCTGCCTGCACTTTGGAAAATTAAATCTAAAGATTATTCCGCCCGAAATAAAAAGAACGACACCTACGAAAGAATGATAAATAAAATGAAAGAGGTAAGAACATAATTTTTGCAACTAAATACCTATGCCTAATACCTACTACCTACCTACTTGCACATATTATGTACATATCCTATTGTTTTTACATGTTTTTTTTAATAGCAAACACTTGAAAAATAGTAGCATAAGAAATGTTTCTTCATTAGGAAATTGTTTCCACGCCAATGATTTCGATAACAATGAGGCTTGCGCGTACTTGACTGTGCCGTGTGGTAACGCACAAAGTGTACAGTTTTTTCGTGCGAGATGCTTGCGCAGGCCAAACTGTGGTGAAGCTTGTGCGTGTGGTAAGCGCATTAAACATTTGAGAGAAGAAATAACAATAATAGGGTAGACTATATACTTAATTATTCGCTTTTCTGAATGATATGCTTAAAAAACTTAAATTAAAAATAAGAGACTAAATACTTATTATGATGTAAAGTTTACCTACAATGCGAGGAGATGGCGCTGCCTGGCAGCCTAAGAAAATACTAGAAATCACATAGCATGACTAATACAATCTCGGTAGCTTAATTGGTTAGTGAGTCCGCCCGGATAGCGGAAGATGCTGGTTCGGATCCCGTCTATAAATGTTAAAAAGTTAACGAATAGGCCGGTAGATCTAGCGCTCACGGTATTTTTAACTACCATCATCGTGATAATTAAAGCATTTCCCGTTAGTGTGACCCCAGCATAATGAGAGTAAGAGACAATTCACATCGGAATGGCCGCGGCCGGGAGCGACACGATACGCGCGCGGCGAATACTTTCTCGCTGAAATCGGTGTTAAATTTTTGACTTATATAATATGCTCTTCTCTTGCTTTTCTTAGAAAAGCTTTCTCTACAGAAACTTAATTCCGGTTTATTGATGGATATGAAGTTAGGTCCGTGCTAGTAGGTACTTTATGTTTGAGTTCAATCAAATTCATACTCAAAGTGCGGTTTTTATTAGCCGACTTCAATAAGGTGGAGGTTCTCAATTCGGTTGGTATTTTTTTTACAATATATTTTTAAGGCGTGTTTCTGGAGTTGTGTGTTCGTATATAAGTCCAACCCAAGCGGGGATTTTGGGATTTACGTGAGCGTAAAACATAAGGAGGGCAACCTTACATCTTGTGAAGTACTCTCACTTTACCTGAGCCTTTTATATAAAGCCTAACGTCTAGGGCAGCTATTTTTTTTTATTTATTTAAGAAAATCAACACCGTTAAAATTTAAGATAGTATAGATATCCAAACATATCGACTACTTGTAAGGCTAATAACAGGTTTGAATTACATATTTAGTACCTGTAGCTACAGAGAGAACAGACGTTTAAAAATGCCTAAGTAATAATAATTATTAAGAAGTTCAATAACAATACCAATAATAAAATAAATGTTTCTACTGCTACTAGCAACTCAAAAGTTTATTTACATTAGTATCCCATAATACGAACATTACACATAACAAACAAATCATGGGATTATTTATGGATTATGGATTTAATATTTATGGCCTATCAATGATAGGGATATCAGTGTTAATATTTTTATGCCTATGAGTGCAAATTGTTTAAAAAACTGGAGTTATATTGGGAAAAGAAAAGTAAACAATACAGCTATGTCATAATTTTAATGGCTAAACAAAATTGACAAACGGTATGACTCTTGGAAGCGCCCAAATCCTTAGTCTTTTGAATAGGAGCGACTAGACGGTTAACGTAAGGTTTCTTATGATGGAAAAATATTAATCTGCCGGTTTGCATTGTGTGGGTGTGGCCGTATGAAGGGGTAGAAAATAGGAAACATAAATATTGGAATACCTCAGACATTGAGAAGGGATGTTACATGAACCCTCCAGTAGCTCCTATTCAAAAGACTTACGATGTGGACGCGACCACAAGTCATGACCAATCGTTGAATTTTTTTACTGCCCTAGACATTCGATTCGACATAAACCCCCTTTTTAATGCACAATAAACTTAGACTAGTTTCGCCGCGTTTTGTTCATATCGCTTAAGTGCCATTTGTCATTCAATGAACAGAGACTAGACATAGAGTAAGCTTAGTCTTCGTTTATTAATAAGGGGGAAAGGGTTTAGGTATGGTGGGAGTACTTCACAAGGTGCAAGGTTGCCCCCTTATATTATTGTTACGCGCTTGAGTAAATCCCAAAATCGGCGCTTGGGCTCCCCTAATATATCCTATATATAAAATTCTCGTGTCACAATGTTAGTTACCATACTCCGAAACGGCTGGACCGATTTTTATGCAATTTTATATGCACATTCAGTAGGTCTGAGAATCAGCTACTATCTAGTTTTCATACCCCTAACTGATAAGGGTTGTCCACCCCTAACATTTTATTTTTATTTTTTGAACCAAATTTTATTTTTTAATACTTAATGTGGCATTAAAAATACATAAAACCCATAATATTACCCTTATACCACCAGCCCCTATTTTTATGGCGGTAAGAAGTTCGCTGGGTCAGCTAGTCTTATATATAAAATTCTCGTGTCACAATGTTAGTTACCATACTCCTCCGAAACAACTTGACCGATTTTTAATGAAATTTTATATGCATATTTAGTAGTTCTGAGAATCGGTTACTATCTATTTTTCATACCCCTAGGTGATAAGGTTGTCCACCCCCAACAGTTTTTTGGTTTTTTGGACAAAATATTTATATTTTTTTATAATGTGGTATTAAAACACCATACAACCCTTTTTCACCCTTCTGCCACAGACCCTATTTTAATGGCGGTACGAAGTTCGCTGGGTCAGCTAGTATATATATAATATATTTTATATGTGAGGAAACACAGGTTTTAACATAACATAACAGAACATTATTACTTAGATAGATCTGTAATTTTTTTCTCGCAGCTATATCAATGTTTTACCTTTAATATTAGTAGATGTTGGTCTTCTTCTATCAAATGAATAAATAAGAAATAGCCAAATGTCCTTTGTTGTCAAATGCCACTTTACCAAG